GGGGGGGGGGGGAACCACCACGCCGGGCAGAGCGCTGGGCCCGCGTCACGCACGCAGCACAGCCGACTTTCCAATTTCTCAATTGGCTGCCTTTTGAAACTACCCACAGGCACTTAGATGCTGAAGAGTTGAGCCCCGTGCCCCTGCACCTGTACCCCCCCTCATCCATAACAGCCTGGACCACGTTTCAACCCAAGGTCCACACACCCTGGCAAAAGCTTGCCCTGTCCCATCACTGCCCACACGCTGCCCATCTCCACTCTGTGGCTGCAGATCTGGAGACCGTATCTAGCTAATGCAAAGATCCACAAAGGCCGAAAAGCAATTCATTTTCAAAAAGGGGAAAAGTCTAAGTTAACAGAAAACGTAAGGCACCCTGGGCCGTCTGCCCCACCCTGAATCGACTGTGCACAGGTACCTGGATGCTGCTGGCGATCTCACTGGTCAGGGCCACGTGCAAAATGATCAGGGGCTCCCCCGGGGTCGAGCAGTGAGAGAAGAAGTAACACCTTCTGTAGGGCCCCACGCGCCGTCTCATGTCCGCCCAGCTTTTAACGGGATGCACAGCCTCAGCCCTGATGGCAACGTTATGAAAGGGCAAAGACAAAAGTACAAATCACAGGTTAAACAGCCGCGGGGCTGATTCTTACTCGTATTGTTCACTCACGTCACAGCAATCCTTTAAATACAGCTTCAGCGGCCTCTGCGGGAAATTCAAAGGTCATCTCAGCGAGAAACGGCGCTGACTGAGAGGAAGCACAACTGGTGACCGTTTTACACACAAAACTGCGCTCTCATCCCCGGTCTTAAGACTTGCTTGCCAGGCCCCGGGGGAGCAGGTATGTGGCAGATTTCAACACAGAGACCTGACCAGAGGCCTGTCACCAGACATCCTACGTCTCTTGCTTCCTCTGAATCTCCGCAGTTTGAAGTCCGCGCTGCCTGAGGACACACATCGCCTGGCTGCTTCCATTTGTCCAGCGACCTCGGCCACCGCTGTTTTGTTTCAACATGCGACATGGCAGCATGCTACTGTCGGCCAGCCTGCATTTCACTGTGTCCGGGGGAAGGTGGGAATCACGCACCATACTGTGAATTTGGAGATTTTATCCAAGGGAGACATTTTCACAGCTGGTTGAGACAGACGGTTTTTGAGTTACTAATGCCAATGCTTGGGTCCAGTGAACCCAGGCAGCTCTGATCATGGGGTCGTTGGGGAGACGCGGGCCTGAGGGCTTTAAATATGAGGACGTGACCGAGACCCCAAGCGCAGGTTCACTGGCACAAGGACCGGCTTCCACCTGTGCCCCTTCCTCCTCCATGGTCTTGGCATCACCTGCTAGGACAGCCACCTTTGTGGATCCTGCGTTTGGGTTTTATCAGGCTTGGAGCAAAACGTACACGGGAAGGAGACTGGCTTTCCGCTGAAACGTAAGAAAAGCAGAAACGTCATAAATACTTACTCACTGATTTTCTGCAGCATTTCGCACGGTGAACGCCAGGTGACCCGCTCCAGGTTCAGGAACCCGGAAGAAAACCATTCTGAGAACATGCTTTTCAGCACCCCGTTCATTTCCTGAAATGGAGAGGGGGGAGTGCTGGCCTTCTGAGGGAAAGACGTCCACCCCGTCCCCGCATCGATGCCAGCACTGGGAATTCGACACGAAAACCTGATACAGAAGACGAGCGGGCAGGATGAGGCTGCTCTGAGGCAGCTCCACCGGGCCCTGCTCTCGGCCACGACACACTGAACTCAGCTCTACTCCCTCCCTCCCTCCTTCCACCTGTAAGACACCTGGGTTCCACCTGAGCTAAGTCGCCCAAATCAAATAAAGTGTGCCGATGCATTCGCCGCCGTGAACACAGCTGCACACGTGGCGTTAAGCTGACGCTGAACGGCGTCTCGTGCAGGAAAGTCCAACACCCTCTCAGGAACATTCTCTGGCTCACCAAAAACACGCTTTCTTGTTTCCCAAGAGGAACGAGCACTGGGTCCCGCGCCCCACATTTCGACAGCTCTCAGGTGTGTGTTTCCCTATTTTCACATCTTGGTGGTCAGGACACCTTGTTCAAATGATGGCGGGTCACAGTTTAATCGGCAGCATTTTTTCCTCCCTGAGTGGGCCGTAGAATAATAGTGCGTCGGGCAATCCATGCATTTAGAATTGATGACATTATTCTAATTTCACTTACTTATATTTATTCCACTTCCCAAAATGATCTGAGTCAACTTTACCATCAGAGATACAGTTTCGCACTGAAACTTTTCAAGCAAGAATAGAACAAGAGGTGAGTAAGGAAAGGAGAGGACACGATGCAGGGGCAGAACCATCCCAGTTTAGTCTGTGGTGACTGCTGACCATGTAACAGTGGTAAGCTTCATGACAGCCAGAGCGGAGGGGATGTCCAGGGCAAGAGACAAGGCTGTTGTTCCTCAATGGCTGCGTCCCTTTTCCCCAAATCAACAGAAGCTTCACTTTTTACCCGGGCACGTGACTGTTCAGAATAAAGTTTGCACTGCCGCTAGGGCTAATCATGTGACTGAGTTCTGGCTACTCAGATGTAAGCAGAGGTATCCTGCAGCAGCTTCTGGGAACCTTGAAAGATGGCAGGAGCAGCAAAGGGCTGCTCTTTCGCTTTGTCCTTCCCACTGCAGGGAAGAGATGTCCTTCCATCTTTTTCTTTGTCCTTCCCACTGCAGGTCGGAAGGCGATGTGATGGCTAGAGCTGCAGCAGCCATCTGGGGCCATGAGGTAACTTTGGGAATGAGGTTTTCAGGGAAGAGCAACGAACAGAAGTCTGGGTCAACTGAGGGCACCGCAGAGCAGGATTAGCCCTGGGCTGCCTGCCTCCAGACTTCTTCATGAAAGACAAACTTCTCTTATTCAAACCACTGTTGTTTTGAGTCTCTGTTCATTATAGATGAACCAACAGATACACTGCTTATTATTATTGAATAACAGCAAACATCTCAGTATGTCTGGTACAGAACTGACCTTATGAATCCCTGTATAAGAATCACAAAGACCATGATGGATAACACCTGTAAAACTGTACACAAGCTATAAAACTGTTATAGGGCCATTTCACATTTTAATCTCTGGTAAAAGGTCAAAGGACTCAGAACCTTATCACTTGAGGATAAGTTGCAGGCATGGGGGTGGGTGGCTCAGAAAGGGTTTCAGAATGAAGCGAGGTCCATCTTTAAACACTGAAGGCCTAGGGCACACAAGAGGCCCCATGGGGGCAAGGAGAGGGAGCAAGTCCAGGACCAACAGGGGGAAGGCACAGTCAGACTCCATGTAAAGAAGAGCTTCTGAGGAGCTAGGGCTGCCCACAGAGGTCCTCCTGGGAGACAGCAGCCCTCCCCACGGGAAGAGACGAGCACAGGGTGGGCAAGAACACGGTGGAGATGTTTTAGAAAGGATTTCCAGGTCGACAGGCGACTGGACCAGATGACCTCTGTAATTCCTCTTAACTTTTTTTTTTTTTTTTTTTTTTTTGAGACGGGGTCTCGCTATGTTGCCCAGGCTGGAGTGCAGTGGCTATTCACAGGCGCGATCCCACTACTGATCAGCACGGGAGTTTTGACCTGGGCCGGTTCACCCCTCCTTAGGCAACCTGGTGGTCCCCCGCTCCTGGGAGGTCACCATATTGATGCCAAACTTAGTGCGGACGCCCGATCGGCATAGCGCACTATCGCCCAGAACTCCTGGGCTCAAGCGATCCTCCTGCCTCAGGCTCCCAAGTAGCTGGGACTACAGGCGCGCGCCACCGCGCCCGGCCCTCGTAACTCTTTATCCCATGGTCTAGTCTCCTTTACTGGCCTCTCAGCTCTGTAAGGGCAGAGGTCATTTCTGATTTAGTCCTCTGGTTCTCAAAGCCATCAGTGGGGTCCTCCATGTGGAAGATGATTTAACAGATTGATGGCAAATGAAAACGAGAAGACAAACTGGAAACAGTGACCAGGAAGTGGCAGGAAGGGAGAAGGGACGGCTCACCAGGCAACACAGAACGGCTCCTTATAAAACTGTATTTCCTGCACTGACTACAGTGGTCCTCAGTCTTCCTGGGGTCCTCATACACTCATGCACATGTGCTAAAAACTGGGGACACTCTCCCCAGAAAAATGCAAACACATTAATAAAACTCTGCACACAGTTTCCTGGGGTTCATGGACCCCTTTGAAACTCAGTTCCCAACCAGGTTCCCCAGGTTGGGAACCTCTGCACTGAAAGGTTAGGAGCGGACCAGCCGAGTTCCACGTAGGATGTACATGGAACTCTATGGCATCTCTACGAGACGCACAATAGGAACAAGTTGGAAAAATCTGCCTTTGGCTTTCATTCAGTATCGATTACGAAAGGAACGGTCTGGCTGACGGAAGCGCCTCTTCTGCAAGTCCCCTCGTTCTATTCTGGGCTACTGACAGCTATAACGTGGGACACTGGACACGAGATCCAGGAATCTAGGTTAAAGGTTACATATCTCCACCGCCCAGTGCTAACAGGACCGCAGCTGCTCAGGCTGGAATTAGGTGCCGAGGGCAGCAAGGCTACCGGATCTCAGACAGCAGGAGGGAGAGGAATTGTGTATGCGTCATGCTCAGTGATTGAGAAATCATTTATCAGCAACCCAGGCCTCAAAAATACGACTGCTGGGACAACGTTCCCATCTACAAATGAGTTCATCTCTTAGTCTAGCTAAGTGCAGAATTTAGTAGAACCACGAGGACCACCAGGTTAACTTCAAAACAGGACAAGACACCAGAGAAGGTTAACAACAAACCGTGGTGCGGCTGGGCGCTGCAGTGGTGGCGTGGGGACCCTGCCTGATACGAGTTTGGTCCCTTCTCCAATGTTCCGCCTGGGCTTCTGTTAAGATTCCCACAGGTCTCACCGTCATTTCTACATTCAAATCGCCCATCGTTTCCTAAATGCCAGCTCCCTTCTGCTGCCCACAAATATCTGACAGTGCCCAGACCCTCTCTTAGAATGGGAGTCCCCTCGGCTTCACTGGGGATTGTATCTGTAGAGACTGAACTCTTCAACCCCAAAGGGCTTTTGGAAATAACTCCTCTGCAGAAAAACAAAAAGCCTGTAAACTGCACACACAAGAAGCACGTGCCTGCCTGCACACCGTGTACCCCGCTCAGGAGCTGGACACACAACCGCAAGTTCACAGGGCGTCTCGTTGAGGAGAGCAACTGACGCGTGGACTGGATTCACACCTCAGAGCCCAAAGCCCACAATTCCCCGCCTCGGGAAGGAACACGCAAACCCGGACTTATGGCCACGTGTCCAGGCATCATAATAAGCCTCTCAACTCACTTGGAACTTCAACAGAAGAGAAGAGCATTTTTAACAAAAAGAACATTTGATCTTGGAAGCAAAGGGACCGTTTCTTTTCCTGGTGTGATTAAGATGCTTTGTGGATTTGGTATTACCCACCCCGGCCCAACACTGGATGACTGATTTATTGTTCTATTTCCTAAGATTAAAACTCGAGATAGGGGGCAGGGGTCCTGCGATCAGAGAATTCAAGGACATTGACAAGTCCCTTTTCTACAAATTCCTTAATTATGAAAACAACTAAAATCCCTTTCTTGGGATAAATCCATTAAGATCAATTCACTTATGATAATCAAGAAGTGCTACAAAGCGGCATCAGAGGGACGGACCAACGCAGTAGAGACTTGGGATGAATCGGGAAGTCCCAGGCTGGCCTCTAAGACGCTTAGGCTTCTAACGACCTTTTAACTGATGGGCAGCAACGTCCATCCTCTCTGCAGCTGATCTGCTATCTTGAAAACCACAGCAGCCATCTGACGTTTGCTGGGTTGTAAAAACTTTCTACACAGCACTTGCATCTTCCCAGCAAACAGACTTGATAGCTTGACTCTGAACTTCCTATCAGGAAGGACTAAGAATAAGAAAAGAAACCTCACCCGATTTAAAATATCCAAGAAAAGAGACCTACCCCTGCCTGGCCTTCCGCCTCAGGCTGCACGCTGGGCTCCACTCAAACAGAAGCGTCAGCCTCTGGATTCTTCCCGTATTTCCAATAATCACAGCCCTCGTTCAGAGACCAAGATCTTGACAAACTGCCCTCATTCATAACTGTGTTTTTAGCCAAGCGCCACAGTATTTTCAGAAGAGAAGCAGGCTGCCCTTGGGCAGACTGACCACTACCGCCTCAGCAGCAGAGCTGGTTGGCCCAGGACAGTTAAGGGACGTGGCTACGATCACCTAAAATCACGCTTCGAACCAGCATAACCGGGGCCTTCCTTCCCCACCTGGTGCGTCTTCTGCTGTACCCACTGTTCCGTATGAGATGCCCAGTCAGCATCCCTTTGGGCCTCACACATGCCAGTTATTCTAAGGATGCCTTTGTGCTCACAGGATTCAGCAAACAAGAAGCTGTGAGGGAAGCAGGGGACTGAGTCCACTCCAGGGCAATGCCCACGCCTGAGCCCACAGCAGCTCTCGTTCACCTGACATTAGCTGGCAGCTCCAAGGTCAGCAAGGGCCGGGGAGAAGCACACCTGTGTGATGGGGTGCCGTGTGCACAGCAAGGGGTGCTCAGGTCTGCTACTCCCTGCCTCCTGGGCGTCCCGCGGCATCCTAGGCCCCTGGGGATCTGTGGCTCCTGCGCTGAAGCTCGAGGGCCAAACTGCTGGTGGTTTCCAACACTGGATTCCTACAAGCGAAAAGCTCTAGCTTTTTAACCACCTCTTTAACTTGGCTGCAAAATGCAGAATGAAACAAAAATGGAATCAAGATGGACCACACACGTTAAGTGATTCTGGCGATTAATTACAATATCAGATCCCAGTGACGATTTCTACGGGTCAAAAAAAAAATCAACTCTGAATGTTTTGAATGATAGGGATAAAAAAACATTTACGTAGCCACAAAGAGCAAAGGGGAAGGGGAACAACACATTTAGCTACTAACGGTTAGAGGCCCTCGGGCTAAGGGCAGGATTTCTAGGTAGAGAAACGCAAGAGGTGTGATGGAGCCACCTGAAAAGGCTTCTGCACCCAGCGTGTCCAGACCATGCGCAGAGGCCAAGGTCAGTCTAGGGTCACTCACCCTCTGCCTGAGACATATCTTGATTCCACGTGACTTTGTGCCTTTCGGTTGGTGATGTTTCTCCCTTACGTGTGTGGATGGCCTTGGTTATAAAACAAGGGAACCCTGAACGTCTGAGGACATGGTGTTGCTGGCAGCTCTGGATCTCCCTGGGGCCAGCTCCCCTCCCACAAGTCAAATCTTAAGGTCACAGCTTTGAGCTTTGATGATGTCCCTTCTCAACCTCATAACCAAGAGTCTTCTCTTATATGTGGGGAAGAGTAAGGAAACGAGTCCAGTTATGTCTCACAGAATCGGTTATGTCTCACAGAATCAGGAATCCCCCAGGACAAGGGCGGTCCCAACGTCTGCTAGGTTCTCTCTCTCTCTCTCTCTCTCTCTCTCTCCTCTCGGCCGCACGGAAACCTTCCCTGGACTCCAGGTTCCGTTCCAGGCTCAGGCCTCTGAATGGAGCAGTCTGACCTCAGGACGAATGGGAGTGGTTAGCTGCCGACTTCGCCAGATGGCAGGGCACGCGGGAGTCTATCTCACGCTTCATTCACCATTTTGCTACGCAAGACGAAGGTCCCAGTTTTCAAGGAGCTGATCATCCACTTGCAGGGGAAAAATACATTTCAAACAACAGATTCTGTGGTTAATGTATCAAATCCAACTGAGTGGTACAATTACGTATCTATGAAGCCCAGAACTGGGTGAGGCCACCCTGAGCTGGAGCGGCTGGAAAAGCCTAGCAAACGAGCTGGGAGTGCAGGTGGCTCTTTTTCTAACAGGAATCACGCAGGGGCGCGGGTTCAGGAACGTTCCATCCAGGAGCCAGCTTGGCTGGAGAGGAGGGTCCGTGGAGGGGAGCGAGTAATGCTGGGGGAGTGGGAATGCGCAGGATGGCTGGTGGGCAGCAAAAATGCCAAAGGAAAGCCACCGAATGCCATCCTCCTGGCCACGGAAGGTTTGATGATTTTTCAACACAAGAGCAGAGACTGACCTGAGGTTTCGGAAAAAGGTGGGTGCTGAGGTTGCTGATAAGACGGAAGCTTACACAAAGTCTTGGAAAGATAAACACAGTCACAACTAAGAGAATATTAAACTCCTGACTCAGTGAAAGTAAATAAAACAAAGCCATTCATCAACTGGGTTGTTTTACCTTCCCTTCAGTTTTATAGAAAAAGGCAAATCTAAAAGAATAAGCCCATTTTCGACCTAGTTAGGTTGTCAACTAAGAGAGTTGGTGTGCCATGATGAAGAACACACCGTGGAGTGTAGAGACAGCGCTCTTAACAGCTCTGTGCTCTGGGCGCTGCAATGGGCCTCGACAAGCTTTAATCACCTCATCTGTCAAACAGTCACCACATCTTGCTGAGGATGAAATGAGCAAGTGCGTGAAAGGCACTCACACATACCGTGCCCGCCCCCAACCCTCCCCATACTAGAAGGGAAGCTTCTGGACCAAGTGATCTTGGAGCCTGAGCATGCCTGGCACCATACAGACAGCTGATGAATGGCTGAATGGATGGGTGGAGAGTTTCATTTGGGGACAGGTCACCTACCCAAAAGACATCCTACTTTGGATTAGGCATCCTAGGATTAGGATTAGACATCCTAACTAATTCTCAAGCCTCCTATGCAATGAGAATTAAGTTTCAGAAGGCTTTCAGGAGCACTTGTCTCTGCTTCAAGGAGGAAAAAACAAAAGGTCTGCTTGGATTGCACACTAAACCCAAGCCTCTCTTGGGAGGAAAAAGATGGGTATGCACACAGTGTGTGGAACACAAGGTCTCAGCCATTCAGATGGGGATGTAGTTGGGAACATGGCCAATTCAACATACTGGGATTCCAGGACTGATTTGGTGCCAATGCAATAAACAACTGAGGTTCTCAGCCTGTGACTCTTATAGCGGAAGGCTCACTGGCCGTAGGTAATACTTAGCATTGTAGATTAGCCAGCTATTATGAGCAATCAAATCATAGCTACTATTATCACCCTGAGATTAACCCTATCCTAACTACACACAATTTTATGCGTCTAGGGCTACGTAGCCAAGAAAGATAAGAAGGTTTCTGATAAACACCATAACTCACATAACATGATGAGGATATAAAGTGTAGAGCAAAGAACCTGGGAAATGTGGATTTGGGTGGATGATCGGAGACATACTTATTTGCTCTGAGGACCTGGTCAAGTCACGTGACCTCACATGAGAGGTCGACATGTGGAGACACGCTTATCACCTCCCCAAGGGTGAGGCAATGAACGTAAAAACCGTTACGCCAGTGTTAAGAGTTCTTAAAAGAATCGTTCAACTGTTCAATTCTTTTTAAAGCCAACTGCACCTACTAACCTTCTGAATGCCAGAACATTTACAGCATTTTTGGTTTACTAAAAGAACAAGTTAGTGGTCCCCCCATATTTAACATCAATAGTAATAAAAGGACTATATCCAACTATCAGCCACCTTTCAAGTCATCATTATTTAAATCTTAATCTATTTATTCACATCTAACCTGAGCTCAACTGTGCTAAACGCCTGATTTCCTCAAGAAGTCAACTTAGAATCCTATTTTAGGGCTGAACTCAGGAAGGTATACCCTGGTCATAGTTATAAGGCAGAGATAAAATAGAAGGCATCCAGACCCCTAGGCGGTGGCAACCTCGAGTTCTAGTCACCTTTGTACGTTTCACAAGACCTTTTAGGACAAGGGCTTACACAGTGGGTCCTGCGACTAACGTTTACTGACCCCATCCAGGTCTTCAGAAAGTTACCGGATGCTCGGTTCGGTCCGCATTCAAGTGTACCACATGGACGAAACCTCTCAGGTAAAAGAATGAAAAAGAGATTTTACGGAGCACGCTCATCAGGAACGAGGCGTGACAGTCACCTGGAAAGTACGCGAGGGCCGAGTTTCTATAAAGACGAGGCGACGTGAGCCTAGAGGGAGGCAAGGACTGGGAAAGCGTGGGAAGGAAGGGGACAGGGTTCGGGGGCTCTGACTCGGGGCGAAGTGTGCGCGGCTCCAGGCAGGGGAAGGTGGAGTGCTTGGGGCTTGAGGGGCGGGTGAGGACGACATGGGGAGAGCCGCCAGGGGTCGGGGGCGGCCCGGGCGGGGCCTTACCCGGACGTGCGGTCCCTCCATCAGCTTGAGGGCCTGAGCCTCGAGCAGGTCGGCCCGCAGCTGCACCAGGAAGCGCACGCCGCCGTCCAGCTTGCTGATGTGGTGGAAGAGGCTGCGGTAGCGCGGCACCAGCGCGTAGCGCAGCCGGTCCTCTGCCTGCAGGAGCACGGCCGCCTCCCGCGGCTGCTGGAGCAGCTGGAGCACGGCGGCGCTCTGCTCGGCCACTTGGCCGTGGTCCACGCCGAAGCCCCGCGCCAGGCGGCCCAGCAGCTCGGCGCGCTCGGCCGCCTCAGCCAGGCCGCCGTAGAAGCTCACGAAGTCCGCGCACTGGTTCTCCGCCGGCGCCGGCGTCTTCTCGCGCAGCCCGTAGGCCGGCATCGCGGGCACCGCACGGTGCAGCAGCTCGTCCATGGCCCGCTCCAGGGCGCCGGCCGCCGTCGCCCGCCCGCTCGACAGCCGGCGTCCGGGCGGCCGCAGGGGGAGCCGCAGCCAGAGGACGAGGAGGCGCCCAGCCGACACACTCGGCCGAAGGACTCGCATGGCGCAAGGATACAGCTGCCTGGCGAACGCCAACGCCGCCGCCGCGCTTCCGGCTTCCGGCACGCGCCAGTCCGGTTGCCCGAGCCCGGGGGACGGGCGGGGCGGCGACCAATCGGAGGGAGGAGCGACGGGGGCGGGGCGGAGTGCGGCGCGAGGCCAAGTGTGGTCAAAGGTAACCCGGCCGGCGACCAATCGGAGGGCCGAGCGACGGCGCGGGTGGCGACTTCAGGGGAGGCCTGTGCCCTGTCATCTAGCCACCCAAAGTCACCGCCTCAGTCCCTCTCCTCTAGGGCCGAGCTCTCCAGCCGCAAGGAACATCACGGTCACCTAGGGAACCTGTTACGCACGCAGATTCCTGGCCCTACTCCGCAGATTCTGATCCAGTGTGTCTGGGGAGGAGCAGAGCAATCTGCGTGCCTACGAAGTATTTGTGATGGTACTTCTCTGGCAAGGCAGCCTTTGTCTTGACCCCTGCCTAGGCGCTCTCACGTACCCAGACGACCCCCAGAGCTAGGCTTCCAGCTGCGTGCTGGAGAACTTTCTCACCGATACAGCAAACCGAGCTCTCCCAAGCAGCTGGTTCCCCAACCTGTCCCTCCTTCCTTGGTCCTCATTCACTCATTCATTCGTTCGTTCATTCAACAGAGTGTTTATTAACCGCCTGGTATGTGCCAGGTCCTATGCGGGGCACGGGGATAAAATAATGAACCAGATAGACCTGAACCTGCTGCAGGGAGTTTACAGTTTAACGAGGGAGACAGATGATACCATAACTACAAATTGTGTTAAGTACTATAAGGTAAATAAACAGGGTGGAGGGGTCATCAGGGAAGGCCTCTCTGAGGAGGTGACATTTCAACTGATACCAGAAGGGGGGGAGGTGGGGAGAAGCTCACCTATCCATTCTCCCAAGTTCAAAAGCACCGTTTTTTTTTTTTTGCGGTACGCAGGCCTCTCTCACTGCTGTGGCCTCTCCCATTGCGGAGCACAGGCTCCGGAAGCGCAGGCTCAGCGGCCATGGCTCACGGGCCCAGCCGCTCCGCGGCATGTGGGATCTTCCCGGACCGGGGCACGAACCCGTGTCCCCTGCATCGGCAGGCGGACTCTCAACCTCTGCGCCACCAAGGAAGCCCCAAAGCACCGTTTTTTATAACCTCTTCCCTGCCTTTCATCCCAACATCTAAATTTTATCGGTTCTGCTTTAAAAAGACTCCTGCATTCATCTCTTCTCTCTGGCTCTCTGCTCCTGCAGCCCGTGTTACTTCTTAAGAGGGCCACTTCCAGTAGCCTCTCTGCTTCCAGGCTTGATTGCTCCAATCCATTCTCTGCATCAGCCGCTGGGTGAACTTTCTAAACTATCCAACTAACTACGTTACTCACTTGCTCAACAACCAAATACTTTGAGCCTGACAGGCAGAGCCTGGCACGGACGGCCCCTGCTCCCCTCTCCGGCCCCGTGTTCTGTCTCTTCCCACGTCACGTCCCTTACTCTGTGGCCTGGTGGCTCCCAGATGTTTAGATTTGGGGATCAGTTTTTAAACACTGGGAAGATGGACACAGGACGGGGAGTGGGGAGGTGGCTGGGATCACATCCATCTACAGCCTTGACACACACCCCTGCTTCAGACAGTCCCTCCTTCCAGGAGTGAGATTTCTGCCACAGTTAGTGAGAGACTGGGGGGAGTTCGCAGGGCTTGATGCCAAATTCAGTGGAGTCCAGAGGAAAAGCCATCCAGGGTCCCACTGTGCTCTTGGAGAAAGAGAAGCCTCATCTAGGTACAAAGGATGAAGGGGAGGATCAAAGAGACCACTGAGAACACATGGTGGGCAGTAGGCCCGGGGCAAGTGGGCTCTGGGGCAGGGCCTTTCTTGTGTGTTTCGGGAGCTACAGGGCACCTAGCGATGGGTGGGTAGAAGACGGTGAACCATTCCCTTCTTTAGTCACACAGCAGTCAGTAACTGATGTCCCACTGAAGTCCCTCTGATGTCCCCTGTGCCGTGAGAAGGATGTGTGCAGGCCCTGGCCGAACCCCTCATGTGCCTGTCTGTACACTAATAGGACCACCAGTCATTCAGTACTTCCTAAATGCCATCCCCTGTTCTTAGCACTTAGCTGCAGTATCTCATTTAAGCTTCCCAGTAACCCTATGGAGCCAGCACTATTATTCCCATTTTATACAGGTGGGAACAGAGGCACAGAGAGATACAGGGACTTGCCCAAGGGCTCCCACTAGTAAACGCAGCAGTGCTCCCTGGGTCTCTCCCAGCCTGGAGCACAGAAGGACTATCTGGACGCAGGCTGCTGTCTCTCCAAAGTCTGTGCTCCTTCCACTCCAGGATCCTGCCTCTGCTAAAATGAGGATTCCTGCGTTATTCAGAATTGAGTTTGTTTTCATGCTGAAATGTTGAGGAAAACACAGGAGAGACAGGAATCTAATAAATACCAACTCCCTCCCACATGGCTGAGGGTTGACTGCTTTCAGTCCTCACATCAACACTGTCAGGTAGTTGTCCCCCAACTACAGATGAAGCCGAGGCTTGATGGGGTCACGTGACAAACCGAGGTCATCCTGTTAGTGAGAAGCAAAGTCCAGGTTTGACCATTGTCTATCGGCGCCGAAGCTTTTGCTTTTCCCACTCTCGTGAGTTAAGTTTCTGGAAAGGTTTTCCTTCCTCAGAGGCCATACGGGAATCATCCATCTGTTCCGAAGTTCCATCCCAGTGATGATGGGAACCAACAGGGAGTGATAACTATTATTTTATAAGGGGGGAAAAATGCAGAGGGGGGCCAGCCCTAAGAGATATTAAAATTTATGAAGCTCCAGTAATTAAAACTGAATGAATACACAAACATTTATGAAAATAACAGCAGAGCCCAGAGGTGCTTGGGTATTGGGTGTGGCGGCCCACATCATGGTAGCATCACACATCACTGGGGGTAAAAGAGCAGAGTTGTGTCCTCACACTGTACAAGAGAAATTCCAGATGGCTTAAGGGTTTAAAATTTCACAAAATGAAACAAAAGTATTAGAAGGAAATAATCCCAGAGTGCAACAAACCTTTTGAAGCATGACACAAACCCAGAATACATAAAAGAGAAGATAAGTAAATTTCAGTATATAAATTTTGAAAGTTCTTTATACTTAAAAACAAAAGCAAAAGACAAACGCTACCTTGGAGAAATATTTGCAAGCTATTATCACATAGAAATGGCTAATCTCCCTAATATATAAAGAACTACAAAGCACCGTGGGAAAAGACTGTCAACCCAGCAGAAAAATGGAGAAAAGATCTCACCAGAGAGTTCTGGTGAGAGGAAATAGAAGAGGAAATAGAAATGGCTCTGAAAAATCGCTAAGGTGGGCTTCCCCGGTGGCTCAGTGGTGAAGAATCCGCCTGCCAACACAGGAGACACGGGTTTGATCCCTGGTCCAGGAAGATCCCACATGCCGCGGAGCAACTAAGCCCGTGTGCCACAACTACTGAGCCTGCGCTCTAGACCCCGCGAGCCACAACTACTGAGCCCACGAGCCACAACTACTGAAGCCCATGCGCCTAGAGCCCGTGCCCCGCAACAAGAGAAGCCACCGCAATGAGAAGCCCGCCCACCGCAACGAAGAGTAGCCCCCGCTCGCCGCAACTAGGGAAAGCCCGCGGGCAGCAACGAAGACACGACGCGGCCAAAAATAAATAAATAGAGTAAATTTTAAAAATATATGAATGGTGCTCAACTTGACTCGTGATAAAGAAAAATGCAAATTAAAATACTCCAGTGAGCTATCAGTTTTGATTTACCGTGTTGTAATGATCAAAAATCTGCGTGACAGCCTGTGTTCACGAGCTTGTGGGGAAGCAGGCATCCTCTTCCACCACTGGTGGGAGCATCACCTGGTACAGCCCGTGGCGGGGGGTGGTGAGGGGTGCCTTGGCAGTTATCTCTCAGCATCACAAACTGGCCCAGCAACGTGCACAGATACATCCTCCATCTGCTGAATGGGTCAATGACAAGGTTGACCAGACCTGGGTTCTCAATCGGCAGGACCAGGAATCAGGCAGGGAGCCCAGGACAACAGCAGGGTCCCTGCAAGGAGATGGAGGTGAGGGTGGAACAGCCATCTCTGGCGATAACAAGGACTCAGGCTCAAAAATCCTCTGCCGGAGCACCTTGGCCAGGAAGAAACAGCAAAATAAAGGTGGGGGAGGGGCTTGGTTGGAGCATCTCAATCCCCAGAGGCGAGTACAGGGAGCTGTATTAATAAAAACCACGGGCTCCGAAGTCAGCAGAAGGTCCTGGGGACGCAGCCTGGACCTGCCGCTTTCCAGTTCAGTGACCCTGAGTAGGTTTAGTCACCTTTTAAAGGCTGTTTCCACATCTAACAGATGTAGTTGAGAGTAACTGTCTATTGCAGGCTTGTGAGGATTAAATGAAACAATTCATGTTGAGCACATGGCAAGTAGTAAAGCCTCTGTAACATTTTAGCGAAATTATGGTCATTAATATTTGGGGGTGGGTGTATATTTGCATGTATCCAAAAATGGAGCACCATGTTGACCCTGGGCTCAGAGACACTCTGATTCCTGTGCAGCTTCCTCCTGGAATTCTGCAATAATTGAGGGAAGAGGCAGCTGAGTGTGAGAAAAGAGGGTGGAAAGGGAGAGAGAGAGTCAGAGACAGAGACTGAGACCGAGACGGAGACAGAGAGAGAGACTGATGGAAAGCCATTTCCTTGAGCAATTGCCAGGATAACAAAAAGATTTTTCCTTTGAAACAATTTTCAAATAGTTACAGTTATCGAGGGAGGTGATTTCGTCCTCTAGGAAGTGAGGCTCTGATCTCCCTTCCATTTTCTCCTCCTCCTATTCCCCACCCCACCACCACATTTATGGGGGAGAATATCCCACACCAGCCAGGTTTCCCACGGAGCAAAACTGCAGGAAGCATTAGGAATACGTGGGACTTTTGTTCCACTCAGATGGAAATCCAAAGCATCTTTTGTTCAAGGGTAGGGGAGCC